CCGATCGAGGCCGAAAAAGTACGAAGAAATACCGCACAATATACGGTCCAGAATTAGTAAAATTGTGAATAATATTAATATTAACATAATATGGAATATCAATATATTTTAAACACAGTCTTAATTAATGCATTTGAAATCTATGATCAAGAATTTTTTCTACCAGTACTCACTGGAAAATTAGTTCAATTGGCGCATTTCTGCACAATTCTTTCGCGGGCCGGCTGTGGCCCGTGGGCGGTAGTTTGGATACCTTGCCTTAAACCAAGCTTTGCGACATAATAATACATCGATACCTCGAAATCGATGTCCGCTATCGTATCCTACACGTCCACTATTCGACATTTGTTTTTGCGTATATCAGGTCGATGTTCAGTTGCACAAGACGAGTCACAATGTCGTCGCCATCTTGAGTGTCTGGAGCCTAGAATTCAGATATCTACGGTGCTTTTATTAAATAAATCTAGTTGTGCATAATCACATGGATCCTGAAATTAAATGCGACCGTAGCAGTGCCTGTGAAAAGCGCAAGAGGCACACTTTATGGCACGAAACGCGCAGACGATGGTGAACCGAGGGGGGGGGGATAACGCTTACATGATACCTCTCTTGTTACAATTTATAAATGGCAGGCTAAATATCGTAGAGCATGTAATTCATGGCCTAAATAACGACTGGTACTTATTTTAGTAACGATTAACGTCTCAACATAATAACATATTAGTATACGAGAAATCGATACTCAACTAACGATATGTCGACTTACAATGCGATTTTCAGGATCACATTACATTGTCAGTCTTTTGTGATGTGATACAAATTTTGGTTTCTGTTCCCATTCTTTGTAAGGTGGTGGCGGTTCCGTGTGTGGCTTCTGATACTGAATTGTTCTGTCGAGTAATGAAAATTCGGCGTCTAGTTCCGTTTCAGCGACAAGCGGTGGTGCGGTGTGACGCCTGCGGTGGCGGTAGTACAGCAAACCGCCGATGAGGGCACCCGCAGCTGCTACAGTAAGCACCAAGATCAGCCACAGAGGAATGCTGACGGTTGGCGTGTTCACGGCAGCTGCTGTGATGGGTGACTGGGTAGATATGCTGTGAACAACACAGAATGATAACACAAGCAAACATGCAGCCACGTCCGTTTAATAAGACTACCGAAAGAAAGCAAGGGTTGTAGAAGAACGCAGTCATCCGGGATGTGGCGCCGTGTAGATATTGTGTCAACCGACGTTTCGGAGGAACGTATCGCCTCCATCTTCAGTCCCATCTCCACAGACCCTTCTTCTCTCCTCTCTACAGATTTCCCATGTGGCCCCTCTCCCTCCCTTCCTGTTCTTATATAGTTGAGTGTTTTCGACTGGTGACTCAGTCTGCAGCCACCTGCTCACTCTGGTTCCTCGTTCGCGGATTTTTATACCCCGAATATGGAGGCGATAAGTTCCTCCGAACATGGGTTTACACAGTATCTGCAAGGCGGCATTCTTCATAGTCACCTCAAATCTTACAAGGGTTGTAGAACATTGCCTGTGCCCTGAGAAATTTCTATGTAAATAATTTCACTCAGAAAAACATTTAGCGAGTTACGTCCGACACGCGCGTAGGTCATCATGTAAACGGCGCGTAATTTGTTGTCCTATTTTGAATGTCCCGACATACGTGTGTAAAATTCAGTAACACGAAATTTGGTTAAAATCTGTTAAGTGGCTCTCCACTTGTTACATGCGGGCTGACAAACATACGGACGGACAGACAGACTAGGTAAAGGCAGTAAATGCATTTCTGCAAATTATCTTTGCCAAACTCGCCCAAAGGCACAGTACAGTTATAAGGACTACATGTGAAAACCACTTAATATGTTACCCTTGTATTTTGAATCAGTGCAGAGAATCGGAAATGAGCCGGGATGCCTAAATCAACATAGCTACGGGCTGGACGGCCGGGGTTCGATTTCCGGCAAGGGAAAGCTATATTTCTCTTCTCCACAGCGTCCAGACCGCATCTTAGCACGCATAGCCTGCTATCTAATGGGTACTAGTGGCGATCCCCGGGAGTAATGTGGCCGGGGCGCGAAGCTGACCACTCACCTCCATCTAGTACCTCCACTTCCCCGTACGTCTTCATGTCATGCTGCTTAATTAATTAAGCACAGGGACAAGTTTGCCTCTATATTTGCAGGATATTCGTAGGCCTATGAGGTGGCCCTAACACATTTTTGCACGACGCAGGTCATGTTAACTGCACAGTTCCGGAGAACTGGGGTACTCACGGCGATGAACGAGGAGCTGTACTCTTTCTTTGTGAGTCATCTGACCTCGCTGTCAGTACTTCGACTATGTAGCGTGGAATTGCAGGGCGACTGGTGAATAATGAATTGGAAAGGAATTTAAAGGAAGTGGTTGTGGACTCCAGCACCGTGTAGTCTGATAGGAAGTTACCAAANAGATGGTGCCAGAAATTGTCTCCACGACGCTTTCTATTAGCATCTGGTATATCACAACCCTTACTTCATTTTCATTTATTTTAAACACAGTGCTGTGGGAAGGCTGATGACTGGCTTGCCCCCCCCCGCTGGTGCCTGTGGTAGTAACATAATTCATGATTAGCACATACTTGAAATCTGCAACTGAAACACGTGATGAGGAAGGGACACAGCGAGTCCTCCCAGTAGGATCCTCAGTGTAACCAGAATCACATGAGCAGACGTTTGGAGACACACATTCGCCGTTTAAACAAGGCGGTGAGCAGGAAGGGATACAGCGATTCCTGCCAGTAGGATCCTCAGTGTAACCAGAATCACATGAGCAGACGTTTGGAGACACACATTCGCCGTTTAAACAAGGCGGTGAGCAGGAAGGGATACAGCGATTCCTGCCAGTAGGATCCTCAGTGTAACCAGAATCACATGAGCAGACGTTTGGAGACACACATTCGCCGTTTAAACAAGGCGGTGAGCAGGAAGGGATACAGCGATTCCTGCCAGTAGGATCCTCAGTGTAACCAGAATCACATGAGCAGACGTTTGGAGACACACATTCGCCGTTTAAACAAGGCGGTGAGCAGGAAGGGATACAGCGATTCCTGCCAGTAGGATCCTCAGTGTAACCAGAATCACATGAGCAGACGTTTGGAGACACACATTCGCCGTTTAAACAAGGCGGTGAGCAGGAAGGGATACAGCGATTCCTGCCAGTAGGATCCTCAGTGTAACCAGAATCACATGAGCAGACGTTTGGAGACACACATTCGCCGTTTAAACAAGGCGGTGAGCAGGAAGGGATACAGCGAGTACTGACAGTAGGATCCTTAGCGTAACCTGGATCACATGAGCAGGTATCAGGCGCAATGCATTTGCTGTTGATGCAGCCTACAGGACAAAAAGGCTCGCATATCTGATTTAGCGGAGCTGCACCGATGTATCCAGTGGAGCATGTGCAGGAACCATGCCCATTGCAGAAACCGTTTACACAAGCCGGTGGGCAGGGAACTCTGTTATCTGAAAAATAAAATTACTGTAAGTAGGATCTGATCCCAAAGCTGTAGCTAGAATATAACGCCGTGCTGTCCGTTGAAAGTCAACTGACATTTTCGAGGAAAATTCGCTTCCATCTTCATGGCACAAAAATAAGAGTGAGCTTGCGACCTGTTTCATGCTGGTTTCTTTTTTGGCATATTCCTCGACTTTGAAGATGGAGGCGACGTTTTTCTCGAAAGCGTCGGTTGATTTTCAACGGACTACACGGGGTTAATTCCAGAACATTCAAAATTGCTTAATTTTCAGTTTATTGATTATAGAAAGACTAGTGATAAAAATGAATTTCGGGGAATGCGTTCACATGACCTGGTCCAGTGATTCTGAACTACAGCAACCTCATGTATTCACGAAGAAACGAGATTATCAGAATGTATCAGATCAAAGTTGAAGTAAAGTTTGCTTAGATTTCAATTTCTGGGGTGTTGGATGAGCACCACGAAATGAACCGATGTCAGAGTATTTTTTTAGTAAGAAAATTCGAATACAGAAACATTTCAATTCGAACTAATTTGAGCTTCACTGTTAAGAGCTTTACTTTCAGCTTCGTACCGAACTATGTATCACTTAATGTAGCTTCTTTCTTCACTGTAATTATGCTTTCACCCAATAAATTAATATCATCAGCTTAGACCATAAGTTGATGTGCCCATTAAGTTTCAATCCACTCTGGTTCCTTGGTCAGTTCTGATGACGTATGCTAGCTACTAGTGTCGTTAAACATACGGAAAATAAAGCTAATGGTGTCAGTCAGTACATCTGTTGATTTTAAGCCGTGGGTCCCGTGTCGTAGCTTTGCGACACGTAAAAAAACCTCATGTCCCAAGGGGACCACTGAGCCAAATTCAGGACATTCCCCGCCCAACAGTAGTCTCTAACGCCTCTGGTAGATGGGGGAAGCATCGAGATACCGCTGAGCCAGTAGAGGCCGAACTCGCTGGCTGAGTCGGGACTAATGGCACGCACCAGTACCGGTAGGGAATAGAGACTGGTAGAATATCATAGGGGGACGCACAATGGACCAACAGTTGGTCTAAATGCATGGGGAAACCTACCCTCTCCAATACAATACTAGGCTACTGGCTGGAAGACCGGAGAATCAAGGATCGATGCCTAGCAAGGGAAGATTTTTCTCTTCTTTGCAGTGTCAATTCTGGCTCTGGGGTTCAACCTACCTACTCTCCATTGCGTACCAAGTGCTCTTTCTCCTGAAGTAAAGCGGCCGTGGCGTGAGACTCTCCACTGTCCTTCAAGAGAAAGGTTACAGATTCGTGAAGCTATACCTACACTTCCTCCATACGTCTTCATAGTGAAGTGCTTAATTAAGCTGAGGGACACATTTACGTTTATATGTTTGACGGCAGTGACTAACCTCTATGAATGGGCGACCCAGGTTCGTTTCCCGGCAAGGACAATGCGTCCGCACCGGCTGCTGGGTCCAACAGGAGTAAAGCGGCAGAGGCATGAAGCTGACCACTCACCTGGACCTCCTGCTGGAGTTAAGAATGTATGGAGCTATACCTGCACTCCCCCATACCTCTGTGACTTTGTTGGTTGCAGGCGCTCACATTTGTGTGCCAGGTGTGCAGCAGCAGGACAAGCAGAATCATTGCAACACCCATCCTTCGCTCCTTCTGTGGACGAAGTCAGATTGTAACTAGGTGGCTTAACCTCAAGCCTGAGAAGAGACTCATGTTCGTTGAACCCAACCGACAAACGCTAAACAGGTCTAAGTTGCTTCTAATGCGAAGGAGAAATGTCCCTAAGATTCGGTGTGTAGAAAATTGATGAAGTGATGATTTCGGTTAATTGTGTTTGTAAGGTTTAAACCTTTTATGAGAATAGATTTGCATCGCCCATTCCAGTGAATGTAGTTTTAGATTTGATTTCATTTACTTTATTTCAAATACCGATGAGGTCATTGGATTTTTTCTGTTGACCTAATCCTTCCGGCCGCACTACGGTCCTGGGGTTCACTCAGCCTCTGACCGTAATGAGTACCAGGAATTAAATAAATAATTTTCCTGGGGAATAAAGTGCGGCTGGCGCGTAAAGCTGACAACCTTACCGCCATCTTTGAGCTGATTGTCTAGATAATGTGGGTCCCTCAACGTCTCACAACCCTATGGGCCTTCGTGACCTGTTATAGGGATAGCTTTACTTTTATTTTACTTATTATTACGATAAGGCATGTTAGGTCATTTTTACACGAAACATTCATATCTTCAGCATTCTGCAGACAGAGGAGTTTGCTGTGAGTATCTTATTCTGCAGATAAGATATTTCTGAGTAAGGGTGTGGTGACTCATTAGCTAGACAGCTCGGAGCATGACGAAACATCTAAATGTCTCTCCCGCTTTCCCGAATGGATTTAGTAACTCAGTTTCGGTTGATCATTTTAAAAATATTCGATAGTTCACAACAATCGATTTATTCGATAACTTGCATTCGATTATGTCTATCGCAAACGATGGAGTGATGTAGCTGTTATGCATGCTGGGCGAAGGTAGAAAGTTTGGGATGGTGAGGGAAGCGTTATGTAGGTTGAGAAACGTTAAAAAGAAAGAACATGTAATTTTCACTGTGCCGAGGACTTTAATTTATTGTCCTTGCAATTTTAACAGTTTGTGATCTCAGTGCTTGAGTGTTTATTTATCAACTCCAAATACCGGTAATGCGTTGGGCAATATCGTGAGGTATTAGGTGCATTTTACTTAGGTCTGTACGTTTTAATTTTTTTCGATACTTTGGGCGGGTTAAGAAATATTTTATAGTATCTGGAAGTAAAACTGAATTTCACGTTGCATTGTGAAAATTACAGATACGTGTTATATTTATTTGTATATTTTTCTACCTACGTATCCATTAGCGTGACAAATTTCATTAATTGACACCATACCGAAACGGCCGAAATATTTCATATATTTTCCGGAAAATTATCTTCGAATTATCAATAGGTTTAATAGTTTGTACGTATAAGATATAAACAAATGCCGGTCTCAAACATATGTAAAGTTGTCCCAGTGTTTACTTGATTAAGCACCACACCACGAGGACATGGGAAAATGGAGGTACAGATTCACGTATTCGCAGGATGCAGGACGGAGGTGAGTAATGAGCTTCACACTCCCTCAGCTGGATTCGTTCCTCAACCCACTGATGTATACAGACAACTGTAACTGTAAGTGTACATTATCTTGTGATGTTTCCAAGATTTTCAACAATTGGAGATATTACGAACGTGTCATATCTATTGAACTAGTGCAAGCTGTAGTCTGTGAGTTGAATTTTGAAAGTTGAATAATTAGTGTTGAAAGCCTCATTCAGGTTAGATTACAGGAAGCACGTTCAAGAGTACCTGGCCCTTCCTTCCTGAGCGTATGGTGGAGAAAATGCCGTAGATGTGTTCTGTGCCAGTTTGTGTGTCACCCCGTGCTTCATGTTCGTTTATTGCCGGCAGATAAGCTGTCATTTCTCGCTTATCTGACACAAATAATGGCATAGTTGTGCGAATGATTATGTTATTTAGTTTTGAACTTACTTTCATAAAGTAGGCTAATGCGATCTCCATGCTGTCTGTAATCCACCCTATCAACATTTGAATACATGAATCATCCTTTGTGAACCTTTTTTATATCATGGCACCTGATCCCATCTCAACTACGTACTTAATAGATCCCTCCCGTCAGTCTGTGTGTATGTGTATTCCTATATATGTTCACTCTCATTGCCACTCCAAGTAAATCCAAGTTCCAAATGACTTTTGTCATATTTACGATAGTATTTTCTCTTTGAACAGCAACCACTAGACATTTCTTTAATGGCACTAGAATCACTGATATTAATATCTTCACACACATCATCTGAACTGTCAGCACTGCCCAAATGAAGCGAATCATCACGTTCCTTTCTCTCGAAAGATCCGGATCGAAGCCAGTTTTCCACTATGTATAATGGCACTATTTAACAGAGACAACTACTAGCCGTACACCCCGTTAACCCTTCGCTAATTCGACTTAGACAGTGCGTCTATCTGTAATGTGTAGATAAGGCAGCACAAATTCTCTGAAGGTTTACAGTGTTTTAAGTGTTACTCTAATGTTCCATTTAAATTTTAAAGCACTCTGCTAATTATGGGTGAGTAGGAAAAGCGTAGTTGGTAGTTATAGCGACCAGTTACGGGCTGGACGACCAAGAGGTAGGAGTTCGAGTCCCGGTGGGGTCGAGAATTTTTCTTTTCTCCACGTCGTCCAAACCGGCTGTGGTCCACGCAGTCTCCTATCCAATGGGTACCGGGTGTAAAGCAGCAGGGGGCGTAAAGCTGATCACTCACCTCCAGCTAGTGCCGAGGTCAAGAAAATGTGGATCTATATATCCACTCCCCCATACGCCTTCATGGCGTAGTGCCTAATTAGTTGAGCACAGGGGCAACTTTACCTTTACCTTACTGGTAATTTTGTATACCGTCTGCTCACATAGCGTACTGAGATGTTTCGCATGATTCTCAGATTAAAGAAAGCATTCAGTAGCTGGTCTTGGTGCAGTACATGCGTTATGCTTCGGTTTCATAGGAACAGAATTTTTAAATTTTATTATTTATGTGAATTACAGGCTTCAAAGTGGCACATTTTATACTTGCATCATACACACCACGTGTTTCCTACATGTCTGTCAATACGACTGAAATGCTTATGTAGCAGGACAGGAAGCAGAAAGCAGACAGTTGCACGCGATTACATCTCTGTCAATAAAAGTGAGCTTTCTGGCATATGACGCTTTTTAGTTTTGTAGATACGTACCGACGATTCTGAGGAACCTCCTGCATCCATCGTCTCTTCTGCTCTAAATATAGTCCTACGTGACGGTTTCTATCTACACCAGCCGTGTCAAACATGCGGCCCCCATAGCCACAAAGTGCAGCCCCTCAACTTTTAGAGCTAATTGATATTAAAATGGATATTAAAATTTTAGTAGAAATATATTTTGTAAAGACAATTTTCCAACAGACCAGAACACAAGAAGTCTCACGCAGACATAAATTAGCAGGCTGCAGGAAATTCAATGTCTTGCTATTTCTAACATAATTTCTTGTGTAATCTCTCTTTTTACATATTGAAAAGTTGTTTGATACTTGTCAAAAATGGCATTCTCTTGTTTTTTAAAACTGTAAGATATGTGGCTTTAGGTAATTGAAATTATTCCTAAATAATAAATAGAATTAAATTTCTTTGTATCAAAATCTAATGTATATTTCTGTTCTGAAGTGCGGCCCTGAACTATTATTTATAGGGCTGAGGTGGCCCTCTGTACAAGTTGAGTTTGTCATGCCTGATCTACACGATTATACGGCGTCACATTCCAGAATACCGTAATCTTAATATTCACCGGCAAGAGAGCCTCAAGTTTCGTTCTCAGAAAGAGACTGATTTTGTGAGGAAGTTCAGTGCAGGCCACGGTCTCCCAACTTAGGAATTTCTGGTTCCCTTAAACCAATCTTTGCGACATAATACATCGATACCTCGAAATCGATGTCCGCTATCATATCCTACACGTCCCCTATTCGACATTTGTTTTTGCGTATAATAGGTCGATGTTCAGTTGCACGAGACGAGTCACAATGTCGTCGCCATTTTGAGTGTCTGGAGCCTAGAATTCAGATATCTACGGTGCTTTTATTAAATAAATCTAGTTGTGCATAATCACATGGATCCTGAAATTAAATGCGACCGTAGGAGTGCCGGAGAAAAGCGCAAGAGGCACACTTTATGGCACGAAACGCGCAGGCGATGGTGAACCTTGGGGGGGGGGGATAACGCTTACATGATACCTCTCTTGTAACAATTTATAAATGGCAGGCTAAATATCGTAGAGCATGTAATTCATGGCCTAAATAACGACTGGTACTTATTATAGTAACGATTAACGTCTCAACATATAACATATTAGTATACGAGAAATCGATACTCAACTAACGATAACTCGACTTACAATGCGATTTTCAGGATCACATTACATTGTCAGTCTTTTGTGATGTGATACAAATTTTGGTTTCTCTTCCCATTCTTTGTAAGGTGGCGGCGGTTCCGTGTGTGGGTTCTGATACTGAAGTGTTCTGTCGAGTAATGAAAATTCGCCCTCTCGTTCCGTTTCAGCGACACGCGGTGGTGCGGTGTGACGTCTACGGTGGCGGTAGTACAGCGCACCCGTAGCTGCTGCAGTAAGCACGGTAAGCACCAAGATAACCACCATAAGCCACAGAGGAATGCTGACGGTTGACGTGTTCACGGCAGCTGCTGTGATGGGCGCTTGGGTAGATATGCTGTGAACAACACAGACTGATAACACAAGCAAACATACAGCCACGTCCGTTAAATAACCTTTATCGTCCGATTGGCACATATACAGGATGTCCCAGGAGGAATGGACCAAATTTCGGGATGGTGTTCCTTATGTTAAAGTATGCCGATATAACCCAAAACACCTATGTCCAAAGTTGAACGGTTACGGAGATAATGGCCCAAGAAAAGTGTGGTCTTCTGGAAGTTCCACGCACTGTACCTCTCAGCTGAGAGGCCTTATCTATGTTTGTCCTTGAGTGCCGTGATTCACCCTAGCCGTACTTATGTAGTTGGCTTTATCAGAACGCGCAGTCAGCACGTTACGTCAGCGCTTGCCATTCATGTGTCATGTATAGTGCTTGGAAACCCTAAGGACAATTATGACATGGCGAGCAAGTATTTTGTACTTCAATTTTATGGCTTCATGTCACTCACAAGTTAGTTTGATGTTACGTACATTATTAACATTACAGAATCCACATATTCCTGCCAGTTTTAATATGTATTTTGTAATCAACAAGTGTGCAACGCCGGTCAAAGTTTGACACTTCTCTGGCCATTATCTCCGTAACCGTTCAACTTTGGACATAGGTGTTTTGGGTTATATCGGCATACTTTAACATAAGGAACACCCTCCCGAAGTTTGGTCCATTCCTCCTGGGACACTCTGTATAAGTCACAAGCAGGAACCAGAGTTGGCCGAATGACCTGTATGTATATCTCAGGACACATGCTCTCTTTGGGAGTGCTGGAAGTTCGACGTTTCGGAGGAACCTATCGCCCCCATCTTCAATTCCATCTCCACAGACCCTTCTTCTCTCCCCTCTACTGATTTCCCATGTGGCCCCACTCCCTCCCTTTCTGTTCTTATATAGTTGAGTGTTTTCGACTGGTGACTCAGTCTGCAGCCACCTGCTCACTCTGGTTCCTCGTTCGCGGATTTTTATACCCCGAATATGGAGGCGATACGTTCCTCCGAACATGGGTCTACACAGTATCTGCAAGGCGCCATTCTTCATAGTCACCGCCGTGTAAACCTCAAATCTTACAAGGGTTGTAGAACATTGCCTGTTCCCTCAGCAATTTCTAATTTAAATATTTTCACTCAGATAAACATTTAGCGAATTACGTTCGACACCCGCGTAGGTCATCATGTAAACGGCGCGTAATTTGTTGTCCTATTTTGAACGTCCCGACATACGTGTGTAAAATTCAGTAATTCAGTAACAGTAAAATCTGTTAAGTGGCTCTCCACTTGTTACATGCGGGCTGACAAACATACGGACGGACAGACAGACTAGGCAAAGGCAGTAAATGCATTTCTGCATTTTATCTTTGCCAAACTCGCCCAAAGGTACAGTACAGTTATAAGGACTACATGTGAAAACCACTTAATATGTTACCCTTGTATTTTGATTCAGTGCAGAGAATCGGAAATGAGCCGGGATACCTAAATGAACATAGCTACGGGTTGGACGGCCGGGGTTCGATTCCCGGCAAGGGAAAGCTATATTTCTCTTCTCCACAGCGTCCAGACCGCATCTTAGCACGCATAGCCTGCTATCTAATGGGTACTAGTGGCGTTCCCCGGGAGTAATGTGGCCGGGCCGGGAAGCTGACCACTCACCTCCATCCAGTAGCTCCACTTCCCCGTACGTCTTCATGTCATGGTGCTTAATTACTTAAGCACAGGGATTACCAAAGTTACGGAGCAATTTCGTAATACCCTGTGCATGGAGGCAGCAGGTTCCTCCAGAGGTTGGTACAAAACTACACGGTATCACATCCCAGAATAACGTATGGTTGATATTCATTGCTGTGTGAACCTCAAATTTAACCTTCATGAAAACCAAGCATTTATTTTTTTTCTCTCCTTGGGCGCTACAGCCCCAATTTGGGCCTTCGCCTACCGCCATGAAATTTTCCGTTTCACTACGGTTTACTGAATATTAGACATTCAGTAGAACTCCTTGGGTGAGTGATCAGCTCGTCGCAAGGCCTCAACCCGTACACAAACAGAAAAACGCACATACACATACAAGCACTAAACATTCATGCCCTGGGTGGGATTCAAATCCATGATACCGCCTTCCGAGCGAGCGAAGACAGTGCATGCCTCAGTCCGCCCGGCTACCGTGACCAGCCTACGGATGTATACACTTCAAAATTATTAAAAAATATATATATATTTTAATTACAATACCATGGGTGCCACCAGTATTCGGGGGGGGGGGCGGAACTAGCGCCGGAACATTTCTCCGAAGAGAAGCAGCCACAGAATTTGCTTAAGCCGTTGAAGAGTATCGCGGTAGTGTTATGAGTGTCTGTAATGAAGATGGTGCCAGAAATTTTGTTCACGACGCTTTCTATTAGCATCTGCAATATCACAAAAATTACTTTATTTTAATTTATTTTAAACACAGTGGTGTGGGAAGGCTGATGACTGGCTTGCCCCCCCCCGCTGGTGCCAATAGTAGTAACATAATTCATGATTAGAACATACTTGGAATCAGCAACTGAAACACGTGATGAGGAAGGGACACAGCGAGTCCTGCCAGTAGGATCCACAGTGTAACCAGAATCACATGAGCAGACGTTTGGAGACACACATGTGCCGTTTAAACAAGGCGGTGAACAGGAAGGGACACAGCGATTCCTGCCAGTAGGATCCTGAGCGTAACCTGGATCACATGAGCAGACGTTTGGAGACACACATTTGCCGTTTAAACAAGGCGGTGAATAGGAAGGGATACAGCGAGTCCTGTCAGTAGGATCCTTAGCGTAACCTGGATCACATGAGCAGAAGTTTGGAGACACACATTTGCCGTTTAAACAAGGCGGTGAACAGGACGGGATACAGCGATTCCTGTCAGTAGGATGCTTAGTGTAACCTAGATGACATGAGCAGAAGTTTGGAGACACACATGTTCCGTTTATACAAAACGGTGAACAGGAAGGGACACAGCGAGTCCTGTCAGTAGGATCCTTAGCGTAACCAGGATCACATGAGCAGAAGTTGGGAGACACACATTTGCCGTTTAAACAAGGACGTGAACAGGAAGGGATACAACGATTCCTGTAAGTAGGATCCTTAGCGTAACCAGGATCACATGAGCATACGTTGGGAGACACACATTTGCCGTTTATACAAGGCGGTGAACAGGAAGGGGTACAACGATTCCTGTAAGTAGGATCCTTAGTGTGACCACGATCACATGAGCAGGTGTCAGGCGCAGTGCATTTGCTGTTGATGCAGCCTCTAGGACAAAGAGGCTCACACCTCTGATTTAGCGGAGCTACACCGATGTATCCAGTGAAGCATGTGCAGGAACCATGCCCATTGCAGAAACCGTTTACACAAACCGGCGGGCAGGGAAATCTGCTATCTGAAAAATGAAATTACTGTAGGTAGGATCTGATCCAAAAGCTGTAGCTAGGATATAACGCCGTGCAGTCCGTTGAAAGTCAACTGACATTTTCGAGGAACATGTCTCTTCCATCTTCATGGCACAAAAATAAGAGTGAGCTTGAGACCTGTTTCATGCTGGTTTCTTTTTTGGCATATTCCTCGACTTTGAAGATGGAGGCGACGTTTTTCTCGAAAGCGTCGGTTGATTTTCAACGGACTACACGGGGTTAATTCCAGAACATTCAAAATTGCTTACCTTTCAGTTTATTGATTATAAAAAGACTAGTGGAAAAAATGAATTTCGGGAAATGCGTTCACGTGACCTGGTCCAGTGATTCTGGACTACAGCAACCTCATGTATTCACGAAGAAACCAGATTATTAGAATGTATCAGATCTAAGTTGAAGTAAAGTTTGCTTAGATATCAATTTCGGGGGTGTTGGATGAGCACCACGAAAGGAACTGGTGTCAGAGTATTTTTAGTAAGAAAATTCGAATACAGAAACAATTCATTTCGAACTAATTTGAGCTTCACTGTTAAGAGCTTTATTTTCAGCTTCGTACCGAACTATGTATCACTTAATGTAGCTTCTTTCTTCGCTGTAATTATGCTTTCGCCCAATAAATTAATATCATCAGCGTAGACCATAAGCTGATGTGCCCATTAAGTTTCAATCCACTCTGGTTCCTTGGTCAGTTCTGATGACGTATGCTAGCTACTAGTTTCGTTAAACATACAGAAAATAAAGCTAATGGTGTCAGTCAGTACATCTTTTGATTTTGTGGCAGTTACTAGGCTACTGGCTGGAAGACCGGAGAATCAAGGATCGATGCCCAGCAAGGGATGATTTTTCTCTTCTCTGCAGTGTCAATTCTGGCTCTGGGGTTCAACCTACCTACTTTTCATTGGGTACCAAGTGCTCTTTCTCCGGGAGTAAAGCGGCCGTGGCGTGAGACACCACTGTCCTTCAAGAGCGAAGTTACAGATTCGTGAAGCTATACCTACACTTCCTCCATACGTCTTCATAGTGTAGTGCTTAATTAAGCTGAGGGACACATTTACGTTTATATGTTTGACGGCAGTGACTAACCTCTATGAATGGGCGACCCAGGTTCGTTTCCCGGCAAGGACAATGCGTCCGCACCGGCTGCTGGGTCCAACAGGAGTAAAGCGGCAGAGGCATGAAGCTGACCACTCACCTGGACCTCGTGCTGGAGTTAAGAATGTATGGAGCTATACCTGCACTCCCCCATACCTCTGTGACTTTGTTGGTTGCAGGCGCTCACATTTGTGTGCCACGCGTGCAGCAG